GTAAAGGACGACTATGTAGAGACAGGGGCGAGTTTTTTAGGGGGCGAGTTTGTTAGGGGCGACTTTGTAAGGGGTGAGTTCGTAAGGGGCGAATTTGTAAGGTGGCGAGATTGCAAAGGACGAGTTTGATGGGGGGGGGGGCGAGTTGACTGGAATTGAGGAGATTTTTTCACACTCGCATATGTTCAGATCTCGGTGTAGCATAATTATTATGTTACGTTATGTGGATACATATCATGTGTTGTATAGCAGCTAATCGCAAACATGTAGACTTCAATCAAACTATGCACATGGCGTTATCATTAGGGCAAAGAAAAAATTATTAGATTATCACCCCCGCCCGCGTCAAAAATTCGGGAAATATTGATGCGGGAATAAAAAAAAAATTGCCGCATCAATTATTTCAACAGCATAAAAATGCACTTTTGTGACTTCAAATACATTTTCTTTAAAAAGCTATAAAATTAAACCAGTTTTTATACAACATTTACTATTACAGACCAAATATAAACAGTCCCTTCCTCATCGATAAATACAAAAACGAAATAATCTATTGTTCCGATTTTTAAAAAAAATCGCCATCCCTCATCAATTAAAAACAAAAAAGAGTGATAATCTAATAATTTTTCTATGTGCAATTATGTTGAAAATTCTGATAATATCGGCCAAACAATGCAGAAAGTAGTTCCGATTTCAATGGTGTGATGAGGTGCATGAATAAAATTACACAGACAACATTGAACCTAAGTGCAGCCTCACACTACAGTAAGTGTAGTAAAATGCTCCCATCTACATTTGGTTTGAAAGGGGCCACTCCAAATCCAAGAGGTAAGGTGAAATTAAGAAATACTTCTTCAATAACACATTTATTTAATTTTAGACCTATATTGAGTATTTATTATGGGATATTTCTCGTATGTTGTACCGGCCAATACCTATGCGTTGTTGAATACGTCCACTTCTTGCTGAGCTCCATAGAGCACATAGGCCTATCTTGAATATGATTATTCCATACAATATAGCGTAGAATTTAGATGTAAAATAAGAGTGTGATAGTTTAAATTTGGAGTTTGAATAATAAGTATGTTAGTAAGCCAACTTAAGCAGGGTGAATTACGCTGCAATAATCAATTTAGTATCAAAATTAGGCCTATATTGATTGTTCAACATATACAGTACATGTCCTCACCAATCGTCGAGAATGTTCCAAATGATTTAGGGCTGTGTCGATCATTCTGGATTCATTGTTTTTGTAGAATAAATATGTTCAAAATTATTAGTAGAGCAAGTAAGCTTAAGTAAAACATATTTAAAAAAAAGACATTTTTTCTGCATTCAAGTTGCATTAAGGACTGGTATTTCAGTATATTTTATCCAGATTTTTTTTATAGGCGGTAAAAACAGTTGTCATTACACAAATTAGTAGGCCTAATACGATTATAAAATTGTACAATTGACATACAAATCACTTACACCAAATTAATGATTATTTACATTTATTGAATAGGCCTTATAATTATGTTGCAACAATAACACCAGTCATGGCGCCAGGACCTGCCCGAC